TGAAAAAAAAATTGCGACATTTCGATGGTTTTATTTCACAGAGTTCAATATTTTTTCTTTCATATATAGTTCAACGCCACTGTTAACCGAAGAATACTTAAGCGCTATAAAAATCTGTAGCCGGACACCTCACGGCCGTTTCTAAGTAAATTGATAGCCGATTCACGAGTCCGGGGGTAAACTGGTCCCGCGGGACATCGAGGGCTTACATCCATACCAGAAGAGGGGGTTCGCTTTCCCCATGGTACGTTGCATAGCCCAAGCAAACACCATAAACTGTTTGTCCAGAGATTAGCCGTGCATCGCTCTGGATTTAACTCGAGAAAGATCTTGAAAACAACAACCTGTTTTAGAGGGTTCGAATTAATATTAGTCGAACGCCTCCGGGGCTCAGGTGACCCGGGGAAAAAGTTTCGCCGGCATTCACAAGCATCTGGGAGCAATTTCACGAGTTACTAAAGTTCCACCGTGTTCCAGTAATTTTTCGCTTGGCTACTCGCGAACGATTGCTCTTCTTTTTTTTCCTTTTTCTTTTTTTTTTTTCGTCGAAACGTCGTCGAGAAATATCGTCCGCCATCTTCTTGCTTGCATACCAATCACTTTCGTGCTTTCAATTCGATTTGTATACTAGTTTTCATTTTGATAATTCCGTTTATGATATATAAACTATCGAGGCCGAAATATAGTTTATAGGCATAATTTTATACAAGCGAAATATACTTAACGATCAATTAAAAGAACTTTTCTCAAATTTTGTAAAAAAAATCATAGACAATGACAGATGTTCAAGGCCACTATTTTTTGAACGTTCAGTAATTTATTTTTTTTCCCCGAGTTGTGCTTTCTTTCCTATCGTTCCTTTATTTTTTATTAACGACGCGTACTTGTTTAAATAAAGTAATACTCTTGAAGAATTGTCGAGCAAGCGAGCCTGTCGTTTGACGTTTCGTAAAGACGAATTAAAGTATAGCACATCTAGGATAACGTAAATATTTCTGACTACAAAAGAGACACGTTTTGTCACACTGCCGTGGGAATCGAGTGTAACGAGTTTCTCTTTGAATCTTAATGATTTTATACCAACGAACGAGGTTGCGTGCTGGAACTGAAGCAAAGTATTTATTTTTACACTGGTATAATTAATAATTTGCCGTTTACGTTGGTTTGCGTCTCATACTTCGCAAATTTTTAATTTATAACTATCGTTTGTCTCTGAATTTGTTACTTCATTACAGTTTGCTCGTCTTGACTAGCAAACAGCCAAATCTTCCTCGTATCTTCAAATTCCCCTCGTATCTTCAAATTTCCATGTATTTTATTTTCAATGATTCTCAAAAATGTATCGCAGCCTTTTGTCAATCAGCAAGTAAAATCACTATCGTATATCACACAAAGATTAAGTACAATGTACAAAATGCGACCAAGCACTGGCTGTGGATTCGAAAAATGATCAATTTAAGCCTTACTCGCCCATTAATTTTCAAATTCAATTTTTATTATTTTACGTTCGTCAGAATGATATTTTCGAAGATTATATTAACCCTTAAGCACACAGTTTCCTCTCGTAGGCGACAACAAAAATTCAATCTCGTTACTTGCCTGCTCCACTATCGTGTAATAACCAGAGCGAAGAGAAACTTCTTTCTCCTCCTATTTACTCTCGTCCGTCGTACGGAGCCAGCTCGTATTTGTATATGGAATAATGTGTTTCCCGTGTTTCCACGGAGAAATAAGCACGCAAAAGCAGAAAGCGCACGTGAGACAAACGGACACGATACAACGTCAACGTCGGGCTGGCTGTATGCAATGGAGGGCGGCGGTGGAGGGAACGAAGTCGCGAGGATAAGCGTACCCGCGGGCTCGCGGATTATTTAAATGCAAACACAATGTTGTACCGAGGCGCATTGTTCCCCTCTCGGTTATTTTACAATTCAATCTGCGATCCTCTCGGTTCCTGGAGGCGGTGGCTTCCGAGGGTCCAGGGACGAGCCCGGGGTACGCTTGTTCGTTCATTGTAACGTTGTTAAATCTCTGCGCTTCCATTATGACTACATCGTGCTCTCATTTCGTCTATCCATCTCTCTCTCTCTCTCTCTCTCTCTCTCTCTCTCTCTCTCTCTCTCTCTCTCTCTCTCGTTCGCTCCCGTTCCTGTAACCTCTTCCTATATTCTTCGACCCCCTCTTGCTCTCCCTATTGCTCTTGTTTTATTTCCTTCTTGATTCGAATTTTTCTAGATGTTATATATCGCAGTGTCTGAACAATGGTTCCAACGCAAAGGAACGCGGGTCATCACTTTTTTGAGAACTTTGCCGGAATGGCAAACGTCAGTTCACAAATGTTGCGATTTTACAGAAAATTCCTCTTCTCCCTCTCATCATATTTATACGCTGCTCTTCTCTATTCCCAGAATATCTTTATACCTAGAGATGTAAGAACTCGTTCTTACTCGAAGCTACAAGACTCAAGAACTAACGACTCTTTTCTCCATTCGCGTCTAATTTCTCGGCAACAAAGGAACTCGGCTCCTCCCGATGGCGATCTCAATTAGCTAATGAACGTGCCATTAATAAATAGGGAGAACAAACGCGGCGACCATTAGTAGAACGTTACGCGACCGTTTCTAGTTTGTACTAATTGTAAGTAGCGAGTAATTAATGCGGTCGATTCAAGTCCGATGTCGAACCGCTGACCAACGACATCCGAATCTACTCTGTGTGAGAGAACAGGGATGGTGAGGGAAGAGAGGGAGGGAGAAAAGGGGGCTGCAGCCTGCGGAGAAAGAGGGTTGCAACATTTCCGAGCGTGTGCAGGTGAACTGAAGAGAAGGGAGGTAGCTGAACTGGAAGTAGGGGGTTGTTCTGGCTCGGGTACCGGCATTGTTTCACGGTGGATGAGAATTTAATTTGCGCGACGGAGAGAGACAACCTCTGTTCAGAGAGAAGGACAGGCAGGTAGGAGGGAGAGAAACAGAGAGACAAAAACGTGAAAAAAAAAAGAAGGACGGAAAGTCAGACAGAAACAGAAGACACAATGCAGGCGCAAAAATGAAAGAGAAGAACGGGAGAGATGGTGGATACAGAACGAAACACAGGTAAAGCGAGAGTAGAGAAAGGCGGATGTATAATACAAAAATGAAGCCAGAGAGAGAAAGAAAGAGTATATCGATGAAGAGGAGAGAAGATATGCAAACGGAAGAATGACAGGGGACAGAGATGTGGAGAGCAAAAGAAAAAATAGAGAAAGGCTTCGAAAGAATAAAGTGAAATACGGACAAAAATCAAAGAAAAGGATAGAGAACAGAGAACAGAGAAGAGAGAGAAGCGAAACGAAAAAACGGAAGGAGAAAGATAGCGAAATACAGATAGGCAGAGACAAAGGATGCAGAGGACAGAAAAAGAAAAAGAATGGAATATCGGACAAAGAACGGTGTATATGGAGGGCAGAAAGAGAGAGAAAGAGAAAGAGAAAGAGAGGGAGAGAGAGAGAGAGCAGAGAGTTGGATGGGTGCTGGCTTGTTTAAGCGTGGGTGGGGGTGTCAAATTGAATTACCCCCTCGTTCTACGGCCCCCGGGGACGTTTGCTGGAGCGCTGGCGCTCTCTGTGCTTCTACGTCAGGGCTATGCCCGCTTGTAAATGGGTTTTATCTGCGTGCACCGTTGTACGTGTAGCGGTGTACACGCTATACCTTCATGGAGGCGTTTTCAATTAAAATCAACATCGAGGGTTGCCTCCTCTCTCACTCTCTCTCTCTCTCTCTCTCTTTCTAGTTTCCGTAGCATTCTGGTTGTCGTTGGTTTGCTCTCTCGTTTCTGTCGGATCGATCATTCCATCTCTTTCTATCCTAACTGCGCAAAATCAGATCGTTTTTTTTTTCTTGTTTTTTTTCTGTTTTCTTTGTTGCATCTACGTCGCGTCCCTCTGGTTGGTTCTATCTCTCAGTTGTTTTCCTTTTATTTTTGGAGATTTCTCTCTCTCTCTTTCTCTCGTTCTTTTTTTTGTTCCATTTCATTCAGTAGGCGGAACGGTCGCTCATGAAAAATTCACGGGTTCAATGAAATCTTCGCCGCGCGTTAAACTAATGGAAAGAGGCTCTCGTTGGTAGCGGCGGAGCACTTATTTCAAACTTCCATCTTCCCAGAGCCAGAGGAAAGGAAGCTAAGAGGATAAGGAACCCAACGCTACGATTCCCGCTTCGTATTTTCCACTCCTTCTGTACTTTTTGTTTCTTGTCGCTGATTTCTTTTCGACGAGGACACCTTCGCCTAGAGACGAGGGAATGTTTGAAGAGTTTTCTGAGTTTCACGTGTCGCGAGAACGAAAAGATTTTTTCCGCTTCTCTCGGTAATGAGGAGGTTGTAAGAAGTAAATGGGAGAATGTGACGACGACGTATTTCGCACGAGAGGTGTTTTATCGAAGTGTAAGAGTGTAAAAATTACACTTAACACTGGTCTCGCAATTACAAAACTATTCTGAAATTGACAACTCTTATAAAAGTACAAAATACAACGCTAAAAAAATCTGATTACAAGTATGTAAAATCGACTGTCTAAGCAGATTAAACTTGAAGTAAATAAAAATATTGTTGACTGCATAATATACGAGAATCGAAAGTATTTGGATAGTTCTGCAATTAATCTGTTAATCAACCACGAAACATTTACAAAAATTATTTCACCGAATTAAACGCGCGTGTCTACGTTGCATTTTAATGACCTCCGCTGGTCTCCTCGATGACAGATGATCGATAGAATGTAATAAATATAATTACAACGGAGGCAGAAAATGGAAACAACCGAGGTAGCAATACCATATACCATTTTTCGATTGAACACTGCAATTATTACATTCGTATCGAAAAGTATTACAGAATTTAAACTGATCGGTATAATTTGAAAAGCATTCATTAGCGTGTGCGTATATCACAGAGGGAAAAGAGAGAGAAAGAGAGAGAGAAATAATTCGTCGAGTGAGCTTTGAGTGTCTGTAAAAACTCAACTCGATTGTTATTTCAGGAATATTCATTTTTTTAATTTCTTTTTCATTTTTTTTTTTTATTTTTTTTTCTGTTGCAGTAAAATGGACGGGCCGGCGGTATTATCGATGCCGCCGATAACCGCGGCCCAAAAATCAGCACAATCGCCGCAGCCGCAGTCGCATTCGAAATCCAATCAGGTATCGTATGTATTTTTATATTATGAGATTTTATTTTATAATTGTTCCCGGTGAACGTTACGCAATCACTGATTACTCTCGTTTATCCGAAGATAAAACGCTTCGTTGTTTCTTTGTCTATGCGTTGGCTAATTAATTGTCAATTATTATTTTGTAGAAGGAATTATCATTTTTATTTATCTCGATAGAGAAGATAGTTCTTTACCAATGTGTTTGATTCGGAGTTTGATTAATTAATATTGTATAGATATCATCAAATTTCTTAAATTTATTAATTTTACGAGAATTCTCTAAATCTATAGATAGCTAAATCTAATAGCTAAATCTATAGATTGAAATTCAAGTTCGAACAAAAACGAGGCATCGTAATTTCGAGAATCTACGTTCGCCTCATTTTATAACCTCGACATCGAAGAACCGCGTTGCGAACCTAAACCATCAGGAGTTGCAGGTGGGCAGTGTATCCCTGTATGGAATTCACATCGTGTCTTTGGTGATCGAGGGCCAAGAAAGGCTGTGTCTAGCTCAGATCAGCAACACGTTGCTAAAACAGTACAGCTACAACGAGATCCACAATCGTAGGGTAGCGTTGGGCATCACCTGCGTGCAGTGCACCCCCGTCCAGCTGGAAATCCTTCGCCGAGCCGGCGCAATGCCCGTTTCCTCCAGGAGATGCGGCATGATTACGCGAAGGGAAGCCGAGCGTCTCTGCAAATCGTTCCTCGGCGACAACGCGCCGCCCAGGTTGGCTCACTCTTTTGTTAGTCAAGCTATCTCCCTAAGAAATTGTTAGGAATCGATTCTCTAACCTGTTAACCGGGGAGGAGATCAATTATCTCGAAGAAAGGAAATAAAATTTGTTTAATCTTATGACCGTAGAAGTTTCTGTTCGAGGGATGGCGCGGTTAACAGGTTAATATTTCAAATTTAAAACCCTAAAACCTATCGATCGGTCGATCGCTCAACTTCAAAAGATCCCTTCCTCCTTCATCTTTTCAAGGCTCCCGGAAGACTTCGCGTTCTCGGTGCACCACGAATGCGCCTGGGGTTGTCGCGGCGCGTTTCTCCCCGCACGTTACAACAGTTCTCGCGCCAAATGCATCAAATGCGCCTACTGCGGCCTATTCTTCTCCCCCAACAAGTTCATCTTCCACTCTCATCGAATCAGCCCGTCGGACAAGTACGTGCAACCGGACGCCGCCAACTTCAACTCGTGGCGTCGTCACATGAAACTCTCCGGGAATCCACCGGACGAGGTTGTGCACGCGTGGGAGGACGTGAAGGCCATGTTCAACGGCGGCACCAGGAAACGATTGCTCAACAACAATCCGGCGTCCAGAGAGTCGCCGAGCCCGGCGAAACAGCCAAGATCGTCGCCAACGACGCAGATACCGAGCCTCGTCCCCTCACCGACGCATCCGCGAGTCCCACCGTTCCCGGAACTGCCCCTGCCGTTGTCCAGAAGCTTGGTGATGGACTACGTGTGGCATCAGCATCAACAGGCCGCCGCTGTCGCTGCCGCCAAGACACCTGGCTTCCCGTTCTCACCGTACGCTCTCCCGTGGCTGGCCAAGAGAGGACCGGTGCTCTTCCCTGGTGAGTTCTCGCGGATTTGGGGTGATTTCGTGGGGAAGGAGGGGTCGAAGTTGAATTTTTGAATGTTTGAATCCTCGGAGTTGTTGGAACAACAACACTCGAGTTACTAATATAGGAAACTAGTAATAGGATTCTAAGGAGAATCAGTTTTCAAGAATGCCACGATGAAATGAGAGAAATTAAAAAGTCGCTCTTTTATAAAAAGACTCTGTTAAAATACAAAAACGCCAAGAATATTTTATTGTTTCGTCCGGCAGGGATTTCGTCAAAAACAGCCGAAACTCTATGGACTGGCGTATCAATAGTTAAAATACGTAGTTTAGACAGATTATGATACGTAATATGGGGGGATTACACGCGTCGCGAGCAGAAATTACATTGCGGAGGCGGAGTTCATTAGTATAATTACAGGGAAAATGTGAATGTGAAGAGCGCTACGAAAATTATTAATCGGTGCAACGATCATGTTTCACGCGTGTAAGGTAATGGTCTTTGATAATAATTATTAATGCACGTTCCTCTATATATATATATTCACGTATATTAACGCGCATAGGTAGCTATCTGTGTACCCGCTATCGATTTAACATTTGGCCGTGTTTCGATTTAACTTGCCAGAGTTAGTATTAATCACTTAAAATTATTTTAACTAATAGTAGACAAAATTTCTCGTGCAACGAGAATCGACCATTAATTCGAGTGGCGTGCAAAAGTTACCAGCCATACTGACAACGAATTTTAACCGTAAATGGACAAGCTATTTTAGAGGATTAGCTTAACCGTCGCTCCGAACAAATATCGAACAAGTTAGTTAATGTTTCGAATTCATTGCCAGGATTACTAACAATCTACAACCGTATCTATTGGTCTATCTATCTATCTATCTATCTATCTATCTATCTATCTATATGTGGCATATTTGCACGAAATACGTCGTCTAGCAGTAGTATTTCATATATTTCCTTTAGGAAAATTCAGTGTTTCACATGCATTTGGAAATTATGGGAAAAGTATTTAGTTTTCAGCATAAAAAAAGAGAAACATGAAAGAATTTTTCACAGTGAACTCAAAAATTCGGTCACGTTCAGCAAAATTTTGTTACAACCCCTTAATTGATTTATAATACAAATTCTAATTATTGTATTTTCTTCCTCTTTCTTTTTTCCCAAGGTCCTCTACCACCGCCAATAAGCGGCTCCAGTCCAACAGAACCGCTTATACCAACGGTGAATCCATCGCTACATCAGTCTGCCTTTCGTCCTGTCATTCGTGGACCACCGATAGTTGAACCGGTGACCCAAGAACAACCGTCAGACACCTCGGTGTCGCACAAGGAGGATAATTCTGACGACGAGGTGGACATCGAGACGACAGAGGACGATCCAGTGACACCTTTGAACATCACTGCACAGAATCTTCATTCCGTTTCAAATTCGGCCGCCAGTAGTCACAGTGGTCGTAATTCGCCTCAGTGTTGGAGCCCACCGCGAGAAACGGTGAGTAAATTAATTATTTACAACGAATTTTCGTTTACACGAGAGCTGAACGAGAGAATCAGCTCTAAATTTTGAGAATAGAAAACAGCGTAACTCGCGAGAGCAGTTCCGAGCGTTTTATCAATTAATCGACACTCCATTAACCGGATATTAGAATCGAAAGAGCGTGGCAATATAGTGTTTCCCGAGCGAGAGACACGTGGCCATTGTTGCACCCTTGTGAGCGTAATAAAGTTACGAAAGGTTCCATCGTCACCCTTTATCAGCACCAATGGGTCCGCAAACACTTGACACCGTACGAGAAAACTTTCCTGAAAATATGCCGACCAACCCTCATGGTGTAACGCAAACACGCGATCGGTAATTCGCAACAATCACGCCCTAATTCGAACAGCTACTTCTGCACGTGGCCCGTCCGCGCGAAGTGCAGGGTTAAAAAGCAGCGAATGAAATTACTTTCTTGTCTAGCACCTTTAACCTTTGATCGATGTATCGAGGATTATAAATGGAATGACTGTAATTTTTTCAATAATTTACTTCGTTGCAATCAAACCTCGATAAAGATGTGGAATAATAATATCTAGCTGAAGACACACGGGGGAGGCTCGATTACAGTGGATTGCTGTGTTTTACAACTCGGTTTAATTCGATTAACGTGGAGCAAACTTGTTTGTCAGGTATCACGTAGCTTCGAGTTAGTATCTCGTTTTTCGTTTACAGAAGGGGACAACGTTCACGGGTGGAGTTATTCTTTTTTTTTTTTTTCCCCTCCCAACGCATACACTTCTCCGTTATTAAACTATCAGGATATATAGCTTTATTCACTACTCAATGATTAAAGATCCTGGCTGACTCTAATGTATTACTTTTTGAAACACGAGCGTATTTGCTGAAAAAACATCGAGTGCACACACTTTTCTCAAATATCTGGTAGAATGACCAGATACTCGAATGGCTATTTCATTTAGAAGAGTATCCAACGTGTGTTTTTGTAGTTTTATTTTTAAAAGAAAAGAATACCTTTGCTAAATCTCCTTCTACCACCCTTTTAACCTCCTAAGGACGGGGTATTTAAATCCCCCTTCGCTAGTGGACGGATTTAAATCGCCAGGCGAAGTTTAATTTTACATGTTTTCATATAAATTATTGTAGTTCCTATATTTTCAAAGTTAATCAAATCAAATGAAGACTACGCTATTTTGCAATAACTTAGGTAATTAAGTGGAAAATTTGGGATCATTTTGAATAACAGACGCAAAATTATAAACGTTAGATTTCCTTATTGTTAGAAATTGTACGGTACTTACATTTATTCATTTATTTATCATATATCGGTCACAGGAACGGTCATAAACAGAAACCGAACGTGGTAATAGCATATCTAAACGTAGACAATAGGAGCAACATGAGTAAAAAGTAATCATTATGAAAAACAAACCTAGGAAGAAAAGAAACATGATCTGTATACGTGGGTTCATGAGTTAAACCTTCTAGATTGCAATATCAGCATTTGTTTGGGTCTGCTGTGTGTGCAGCATCGATAGGTGTCGATATATCGGACGTTAGTACTTAGAAGGTTAATAAAAAGAGAGACTCACTTTGTAATAATTAATAGACTGGCAAATATTAATTAACGCTGGAGTTGTTTCGAATGTCGCGGCTCCGATTTATACTCTCTCGATTTCTTTCACGCAATAATTAATTCCCAGGACGTGCTCTCGATTCTCGATCACGAAGCTTGGAACAACCAGTCGTATGACACTCCATAGGTAACGCCAACATAACATCGCGGTCGTTCATTTAATTATATCGCCGGGCATAAGTGTATGTACACGCTGTGAGCATATTACGTCCAGTCGATCGCGCGAGCCCGTTAGTTCGTATGGTTACGGAGTATTTACTGACACAATAATTATCGCAATTGACGGGGGCAGCCGCACGAGCAGTCAGACCGCAGAGCAAATTCTAGGGACGTCGAGTAGTATTACGTGGCAGGAAACTCTCACCCTCTTTGCCCTATCCTCTACCTTCCTCCTCATTCCCTCTCGCTTTCTCTCCGTTTCTGTTTCTACGTTTCATCGTGTTTGTCTGTTATTCCTTGCTTCTGGGGCCCTCTATCACGATTTACTTGGCTCGATGGCTCGTATCGACGGTCGCTTTTAACGAGAGGAGGGCAGAGGATTTTCGTGTGCCGATCATTAATATTGGGCTGGGTTCTTGTCGTGTCAAAAGGGAGCGTGGTTCTTCGAATTCGAGGCGCAAAGTGTTGATAGTGTTTGAACTGGCGAAAGGAGGGGTTATAAATCGATCTGCTCGTTATTCGTGAAAGAATACCGCTGGAATCCGCATGATTGCTAATTGAACTGTTCGCTGTAACTTGGAGAACAAATTCTCAATTTAAACAACGAAAAATACTCAAAATTCTTATTTTATTTCGTGAATTTCGTTTCACTCTATCTCAATTTCATTTGCTCACTGTGTTTCAATAGAAATCAATATCTCATCACTCCGATTTCTAACCCCCCCGCCCTTGGAATTAATTTGTCTCATAATCGAATTTTTTGATCAATAGTTCAAGCCGCGGGAAATAATTCCACCGACGTGAGTACAGAAAGCACAGTTTCCCTCCGAGGCGTTTCGAAACAACCCCGTAATCGCCACACGTCGTTCCCTTCTACCCTTCTAAAAAGAAGTATTAACAATTAGCAATAATTATCCGGAAGAGTTAAATGAGGGGTCCAGTGGAACGAGTGGCAGAGAGAAAGACGTAAAAAAAAAAAAAGAGAAGAAGAAAAAGAAAACAGAGACAGAAATAGGAAGGTTAGGGTTCGACCGGGATAAGCTATCCGGATTGCCAGGCAGCTTTTCAATTCCCCCCTTGTTGGTGTCGAGTGGGACAGATCCGTACTTTGTGAAGAGACTCACCAAAATCTCTCCCTCCCTTCCTCTCGTTCTCATCTCGACGACATCGAGAACGTATGTGTACACGTTCGGTACACGTACTTAGCCACAAACACATCAGTCACAAAGAGTACACGGACAAGAGGAGAAGTGGAAAACCCAGTTACTGCATCGTGCACGACACATAGCCGGGGCTACAAGTGTATCACGGTAACTAAGTAATCCCCGAACGTTATTTGCAGTTATTTCTCGGTTGGACGGATCGGCCGAGGAAAGGAATCTGCACGGGGATTTGGTATTTTCATTTTCGCCACGAAATCACTGTACGGTTAGGTCAGTACGTTTGTTGTGCATACACTGTTAGCGTGAATTGGTTTTGAAATTTTTCTATCGATAGTTCGATGAAATTACAACGAAATTGTTGAGTGTGTTTGACAAGAGTGTGTCTCGGATAAAAATCGAAGTTCGAGTGTAACCTATTGATCTATAAAATCGTTCTTTCCTCCAAAAATTTCTCACTCGCTCGAAGCTAAAGATTCATAATGTCCGACAGTCTGCAATTAAAAGTTAAAAGAGAGGACACTGAGGATGTAAATTTCCAAACGAAATGTGACTACTCCGAAGGAGAAGGGTACGTAATTTCTTTCTTTTCTTTCTTCTTTTTTTTTTTTTTTTTTTTCTTCCCCAAGTCTGTGGCAATGGGCTCCATTCAGAGACAGTAATGAGGATAAAAGTGAAGCGAGGAAACGTTTAATGTATTCGAACGCGGACGAAATAAGGACCGGGCGATTATCGCGTCGCGATGTTCCTCTGGTCAATTAAGATTCCTTTGGTCGATCACGATTAACGAACGTCCCGAGCTCATGTCAATTCTCCTCCTCGCATCGGGTTTTCGTTAGAGAGGAAGACACCAAGACACTCTCGCAGACCTTCTCCAACATCCATTTAAATGCAATTAAACGGCGTCACGTAGAAAAGGGAGGAAGAGCAAAGGGGGAGCCAGAAACGTTTAAATCAAACTCCGGCTGGTTTAGTTAGTTTCGACCGCAACTTTTAATTGCGCTTCGACCGTCTGGAGAGCCATTAGATTTTCGAAGGGACACCGACATTTATAAAAGCTTCTTTTCGAATTCGTCTTGCTACGTGACCACCTCTGTGTCTCACTCTCCTGAACATTCTCGACTTCGAAACTTCTTTCGAATCGTCATCCTCGGTCTCATCTCTCGACGAACGACAAACATTAATTAAGAAAGTCCAGCTGGCATTTTTAACGATCTCGTTCAGCACCATCAAAGCCTCGCCCCTCCCTTGGAGACGAAATGCCAACGCTTGACCTTATAATACAGCGAAACCCTTCGGGACTCTGTGATTAAATTGACTATGTCGCGCGAATATATGTATGCACATCTACGCGTTGTATATCTGTATGAGAGAATCTTTTTAAGAAAGCTAACCCGGTAACATTTCACTCGATACGAAAGTATCTACCTACCCGTGGAATATCGTTTTACATCCATTTAAAATCATTCGTCACGCGCATCTACGAAGGGTGTAGTGCAACTGCGAAATTAATTCATTGTATATGCTAAACACTGACCATTAACGACTGTCGCTTAATTTAAGATCTCTCTATATATTCTTTGAATTTCGAGGAGTCAATATTGCAAATCATTCTTGGATTAAATTTTTAAATCTCTGATTTGTTAAAAATTTTCACCTGTTAACTATCATATATCGTACGATTATATCGCGTTGAGAAAGAATCTTCCTCTGCCGAGGTAACATCAGAATTAAATAAACCTCCCGCTGAAAATCATCTCACGAAACCGGCGCTAAGTACTCTTGCTAAATTATACTATATACCTACTTTTAATGCAAATTAACCATCGCGATGAGAAGTTAATCGCGACACTTCCCTTCCCCATTTAAACGAGAACCGACGCGCTAAAAAGATAAAGACTTCCGGTGAAAACATTTGGAAGCGAGAAAGGGAAAAGGCAGAAACACCCGGGTGAACGAGAGCAGAGAGGCAAATAAAGGGTGGAAGTCGGGTTGAATCGGAGGGTACTGGGCGGAGCTGACGATTATAATTAAATCAA